GAAATTACAGCGATAGCAAAATTTTCATGAATATAATCATAGGGTCAATGATACAACGTTGATTGATGCAACTGAAGATTGGCAGCCAGTTAAACGTCAGTTGTTCATAGTAAATATATATTTTGACTTGGATAATTCATCTAATCATACATCTTTTTAGAAATAGTTCTCTTTTTAAGGTCTATGATCTAGTTCATGCGTTACTGCTTACAGTTAGCCAGCGCGTGTGAAAAAAGGGGAAGTTGTAAAAAAAAAGCTTTTTTGCCTTTATAGTACTTTTACATACATGTACCTTGCATGAATAAAGGATGCAAATGCTTCTAGTTGGTACACATACTCTGTATTTAAATGTAAACATCAATATCAATTTCAAGGTGTTACCAATTGTATGATTTTGAATTCATTACAATTAAATTCATACTAGTAAATTCCAATTAGGTGTCAATATTAAGACAAATTTCTATAAAGTCACCCTAGAAGTACAATAACGAATGCTGTTTTTAACTTAACCTACATTTATACATGATTATTTTCTCTTTTCTTAGATTACACAAAAAAATGATCCTGAGAATATTACCGAGGTGAGTTATCATTTTAACAACATATCTGTACCTGGATAAATAAAAAATATATTAAAATTACAATCCTGTGTGTGTCCATAATTCTGTGGAACTGCAAATATGAAATGTCTGTAACTACCCCCCCCCCCCAAAAAAAAAAACACAACAACAACAAATAAACATGTATTATGAATACAATTTTTTTTCAGCTTGTTATATGGAAAAGGTACAATGACTTTAAGAAGTTACACAAAGCATTACAAACGCTTCATTTTAACTTGAGAAGGCCAGAGAAATTTCCAGAGTTTGCTAGAGCAAAGTTTTTTGGTGAGTTTTTATTTTTTGTTCATTTACAAGTAAAGGAATCTGAAATGTGTGTATCACTGATCCTATTACTTTTTCCTGTGTATCATTTGCATTTCCCAGTTGAAAGGATATTTAGATAATCAAAAACTATTTATAGCATACTTGGATAGAAGATCTTAGTTTGGTGGTTATAATGTACATTTGTTATTTGTCTCCATGCAATATATGACACACTTATTTCTGAACCTACTTCTAACATCTTCCAAGAGATTATGAAATGCAGTCATTGGTATGTTGTTTCCCTTTGTCTTTACAGGGCGATTTGATGATCAAGTCATTGATGAAAGAAGATTAAGTGCTTTAAGACTATTGAATTTTTCCTCCAGATTTCAACCTCTTCTAAACTGTAAAGCTTTTAAAATGTTTTTTGAGGTAAGACTATTTCTGTGGATAGGGAATTGACAGCTAAATTAGAATAACAAACTATCTATCACTTGACTACGGTACTCTGCTTTCTTGCAATATTTGTACTAATAATAAAATAATAATTACTTTATTGAAATCATATTCTTAATTTGGTTCAGTGTTCCTGCAAAGTCAATTTGACGCACATGCATTTTTTGATGCAACTAATCATACTCACTCCCTGGCGGTACATTGACATAACATGTTGGCACTGTGGTAATAGAAACTACTAAAACTAAATACTACTAAACATTTTAATGTTTCGCAAAGGCAAAACAGATATATGGTAAATACTTGAAACAGATGTACGATGTTCCTGTATGTATCTTTGTTTGACTCATCATTTTGTTGTTTTCACCAGGGAGCAGATGTTGTGAATGCAGACCATGAGAAAAAACTACTACCATCACCTACAATTCAACCGGAACCTCTATTACCCTCACAATTAACAAAAAGTCTTGCACCTGATGACTCCTCAACCAGAGCTTCTAGTCAGGCTAGTTCCACTGAAAACATTGAAGAAAGTGGAGAACATGATGAACCTGGTGTAACTCTAGGTGGAGTATGGTTACATAGGCAAGCACAAGAAGACACAATAAGTTGTAGTACTGCTACTGATGATGATGATCATACAACATTCACTGATGAGGACTCTGTACCTTCTACTCCTCTTCCTCGAGTTGAAAATGTTTCATTCTTTGATCCCTTTGCTCCTAATAAAGGTAGTTAATTTTCTGTTTTTGTAAGCATGTATTATAATAATTTTGATCAATTTTGTAAATAAATAATAAATCAGATTGATTTTTTTTACTACAAACTTGTCAATCATTCAGTAGGTGTTTTTTGCTGAATGATAGGGTTGATGAAAAGGCTTTTTTGTCCATTTTTAAAACTATGTTCAACGGAGCACTTGATATTTCTATCTTATTATCTTCCCTACTTGTTCGAAAAACAAGGTGCATTTTATATTGCATGTCATTAATATGTCAGTACATGGAAGTTTGAAAGTGACATCACCACCAAATCAATAATTACTTTGCACATAAAACACATAGAAGCATTGGGATTTGTCATAGAACACTTGTTGTTGGATTGACTGGGTAGCTTTTGTGTGGGCTTCATTATTTTTGCTACAAATACTGAGTGTCACACTTTTATGTTAATTTATTTATGTAACTTTACCAACATGCACACAGAAGTACACAGATGTATATGTATAGCTTCATTTAATAAAGTATTGTTATGTTAAATTTGTTTTATGTGATTGTCTTAAAGGCAAGTGTGGGTGTTAGGAACTGATCTAATTGTTGGCCATTTTTATAAATTTTAATTCATATTTTCATTTCATTTTTTTTTCACAGATTCCATTGCAACACCCACCCTTGCCCCAAGTAAAAGTTGGTTGTTTCAAGCTATGGATGCATGTGCTGAGTTGGAACAGAAATCACATCAGTCGGAACATTGTCATCATGGTGATGATAATGATAATGATGATGATAATAGTGCTGGAATTAAAATCAAATTTCCCAAAGCTTTCGAAGTCACTGAAGATGATGAGACTGAGAGTTTTGATACTCCAAGTGAAGATTTGAGTACAAGTGATTATTCATCTTTGACTCTAACACAGGAATTATTAGCTGAACATGACAAGTTAGATAAGGACAAACGTCCAGTGTCAGCCGCTAAAGTCTATCTCGATAGCATAAGAAATCAAAATAAACTTTCAACAGAAAAATTATCAAATACCACCGACTCTGATCGGGATAGTAAATATAGCACCCCTAGGAAAACTGTTGATCAACTTACAATTCAGAAAAGGTCAAGAAGCTTATCAGAACAGTCTAATGAAAGTGTTTCTAACATGGACTTAGGGGGTAAAGATGATTATTTATTTCAAGCAGCCAATCAGATTGGTTTAGCATTAGAGAATGAAGCCAATGGTTGTTATGAGGCAGCCTTTACTTATTACAAAGTGGGAGTCAATATACTACTAAAAGGAGTTGTAGGTAAGTCACATTTCAATCATTGTATGTTTCAAAAGTACTAAAAAACACAATTGT